ATCTTGCATGAATTTCCTCACCTCCTGGAACTCGTCAACTTCTTTCTCCTTTCTCTTTAGCAGTTCATTGTCTCTCTTCTCTTCCATCTCTGTTCTGTTTGCCATTATGAATGTTCTAAATTCTTTATCAGACATTTCCATGATTTCCATTGAACTATGCGTGGATGAAGAGGAGTTATCTTTTTCTCTTGGAGGAGAGGTATTTTCCCGCTTTCCCACATTTCTTGTGGTCCTGCAGAGATTTCTAGTCATCTGGTGGATGGTCGGTTTCTTCCCAAACTTGGAAGTTCAATCATGCGAGTTTTGTGTGCTGGAGGCTGAATTATCAGTGGAAAATCTTCATTTCTCAGTTTCCCCCCCAAATGGCTAATTCTCAGGAGCCATGAAGGCCTGGTCCCTTGCCTCGCCTGGGTTGGGAGGGGGAGAGGGAATTATTAACTGCGCGTCTTCCTTTTAACACCTGCAGGGGTTAGTCTGCCTGCTGGCTCGTCTTCTAGTCCCACAGACACCTGGACAAGGTTTGAAGGCAGAACTGGCATATATATCAAATGTAAAAAAGACTTTAAACTGTTAATAATTTTGAGTTTTTAAATTTCTGGTCAACATTACATTTTACTGCTCCACACTCAAAAACTACAGAGTAGTTCTGATAATACGAGAGAAACTGTGAATAAAGACTAAAAAACTTACTTTTAATGACTCCCACAAGGGAAACTGGACCAAAGAGAAAGGAATCTGAAGAGAGAAAAAAAATAATAATAATTAGGAAAGAAAGACCAGTTTGCTTGCTGTTACTACATGAACCTATAGCTATTATTTAAAAACACATCTTTGCATATAACAGGAAAATACTGAGTGAATTTATAGTACACAATACTTAGAAGAGGGGTAAAACTGCAGCCTGTGGGTCTCCTAACATTTTGAGCCCATCTACAGATATAACAAGATGCTATGAAACTGTTTTGAAATGGCAAGAAAATCTGAAAAGGATCTGGCTACTGAAATGACAAAAAGACATATTTTCCTAAATAAAAAGACTTGACTTTTTTTTTTTCTGTTTAAGAGCTAAGCCTGTGGAGTCCTTAGCAGGTACAGTGTTTGGATTTAAGAGAGCTGGAAGGGCAGGGAGGGTGGGGGGAGAGAAAGTTGGGAGAACAGGGAGCCACAGGGAAGAGGGGGAGACCACAGGGAAGAGACAGGGAGCAGGAACAGAAGGGAGAGAAAGAAGGGCCACAGGGAAGAGGGGGAGACCACAGGGAAGGGCCGGGGAGCAGGAACGGAAGGGAGAGAAAGAAGAGGGAAGGAAGGCAAGGAGAGAGCAGAGAGGAAAAGAGGAGTGGTGAGATGGAAAGGAGGAAGAGGGGGATAGAGGGAGACAGAGAAGAAGGAAAGAGGGAAGAGGGAGAAGAGACTAGCAGAGGAGAAAAGGAGGAGGGGGGGAGAGGAGAAAGGATCAAGTGAAGCAGGCACAGCAACGTGGAGGGAAATAGAAGGTGCGGAAGGAGGGCAAGGAGGCAAGGCAGGGCTACTAAGAAGAGTGGGCTGACACAGGACTCCCAGAACAGAGCGGTCATTCTGGGAGTGGGAAGCCCACGCCTTTCAAGGAAGGAGCACTGAATAAATGCTGGCAAAGTGCAAGAGTCCTGACCAGACACATGGAGAATTGGCCTAACATTGGATCCAGACCCCAGCAGTTGCAGTTGGGAAGGAGGGCAACGGGCAGTAATTAAGTCTGAGTGGTCAGGACAATGGCCACCCTCGCACAGTGCAGTGAGAGCTCACAACTAGCTGTCTAGGGGAAGAGCTAGCATTACCATGCACTTGCACACACCAGGCCCTGTGCTAACTGGCCCTTCCTCACAAGCCTGTCAGATGGTTAGGTATTATTACTGCCCACATGATTACAGGTGGGGAAGAGGAGGCTACACACGCCTGAAGGCACACAGGCAGAAACCCAGACGACCTGATTCCAGAGTCTGGGCTAACCATTACTCATCCCAAAACTAACCTAGAGGTATCCATCTGCATGTAAATGTGACAACAGTATAGTCTATTTGCTTTTAATTAAATTTTCTGCAATTCTAAACAGAAACCCATTTCTGTATTTCCTGAAACAAAAGTGCCTGAACTCCAGTGCCCTACACCCACTAGTTTATGTAACCTCCAGCCACTACGGGGCAGGGAGTGGAGGGACAGTGGTAGCAGTGAGTGCCAAGGACTGTCATCCTGCATCAACTCAGTTCAGAGTGACAAGTAAACACAGACTTGGAATATTATCATTATGTGTGAATATGTGTGTGTGTGTGTGTGTGTGAGAGAGAGAGAGAGAGAGAGAGAGAGTCTCCGCACCATTTTGGAGGAATTAACGAGTATGTATCTTCACGTGAATTAAGAGTATTATTTCTAAAATACCAATATTTTATTAGAAATTTGAAGTCTGGCATCATCTGTCTCATTCTGCAACAGCAAATAATGGCCCTGTATTTGATAGCAGCCATAGAAAGAAAATCTGTCTTCCATTCAGGGGGGAAAAAAAAATCAGTGAGGAAAAAAAATCAGTGACAATAGCTTGGATTAATTTGACAACCAAGAATCTTAGAGGAGTTTGTCACCATCATAAACAAGTAGCTTCCCCATTCTGAATGTCAAAAGCATCTGTCACTGTCCACTCAGAAACTGAGTGGCTGTTCTGCAAATTAAATTTTATCAAAATCCCCAAATTGCCTGTATAACAGGTTTTTAAAAGCTTTTCTAAATTTAAAAAATAAATGTAATAAAATATACCTGAAAGGACTAACAATTAGTAGGAAAATGGATTATCTTTATTTTCTTCTTTGTAATCTCCACTCTCAGATGTAAGTACATCACATTTTAACAATATCAAGAATGTTTCATTTATAATATGAAAAAAACTCTCAAATTATTTTAACTATCCATGCTAGCATCAGTCCCCTCTTGATTAAAATAACCTATAAAAATGCACTGAATGTTATCTGCACAGTACTAAAGGCACTTACTATTAGATTTCCAATTCTATAGATAAACATTTTGCCCATTTTCTTCTATTAAAAATTATTCATTGATGGGGTCGGCAGTTGGTGTGGTGATTAAGGGTGCTGGACTCCCACATGGCCTACCACAGTTCGAGTCCTGGACCTGGCAGCTTGCTTTCTCACTTTCTCTCTCCCTCTCCCTCTCCCTCTCTCTCATGCGTTCTCTCTGACCCTCTCTGGTCAAAATTTAAAAATAAATAAAGTTAAATAAAATAATTCTTTTAAAAATTATTCATTGAATTATTCCTTCAGTCTAAAGAAAAGTAATTTTTAAAAATCATACATTTGAAAGAGGCAAACTTTTCTACTCAGTATTTATTTTTAAAAAGTGAGCTCATGAGGCCAGCAGGTGGCATGGTAATTAAGGCACTGAACTCCCACATGGGTGACCATGGTTCAAGTCCTGGATCCGTGGGCTTGCTTCCTCACCTTCCTCTCTTTCTCTCCGGTGAGCACACATGCCAAAATTTAAAAATAATGAATAAAATTAAAGAATTCTTTTTTTAAAAAAGTGAATTCATAGTAAACCTCAACTTCACTCTCTAAAACAAAATTAAGTGACAAAGATAATTAAATGTGTTATAAAAATGCTTAGTTACATTTATTTCTGGTTTATATAATAAAATATTCTTTATAGATAACCTCTTGATGTGCAGAAAAATTTCAAATATCCTTCAAGTCAAAGTCATCTGCACCCTTGTTGTCATTTAAAAGATGAACAGACAGCAGTAGAAATGTGTCCCACACAGGGAGAAGGAGGCTGCCAGCAAACGCAGCTAGGCTAAAACAAACACTCCCGACTGCTGCTGAACGAGGCCTGTCCGCAAGCTAGCTCCCTCCCCATGTCTGGTTTGGCCTTACAGAACAGTGATGTTTCTTCAAAATGTGGAATTTTATACCCCAAACAGATGTAAGCTGTTATTCTAAAATGTTTTATAGATGAAGAAAATGAATAGCTGCACTCAGAGGTCTTATATCCCACACTACAACATACCCATTTTATTGCACCAAAAGTTACAAAATGGCTCACTGTTGTGACCTGTTTAATGCCTCCATTTAAGATGTTTTGTTTGAATAAGGTTGTTAAAGACCCAGGGCACCAATAAGTAACCGACAGTAAACCTAGCTACCATCAAAGAGGCAGATGGAGGGGGGGTGGCTGGGAAATCTGCTAAAATTCAACATGAACTCCATTTGGTTATAAACATAGCAATAATTCTGTATAGGAGTACATGTGAGAATTCCAGGTAGAAGGAGATAAAACGAAACCTGAATGCGTTGAAAAGGTGAAGGAAGCGTTGGACATTAATCCTGTGATCTTAAAATATCTGTAACTTTATGATCCTTTAACAAATAGTGAAGTGGTTTATGATTTAAGGGAGGAATTTGAGGATATGATTTCTAAGGTATTGTTTAGCATTAAATTCTATTTTTTTAAATGGAATTGTCATATTAAAATACTAATAAGTTTTTTTGTTTTGGGTTTTTTTTTTGTTTGTTTTTTTAAGAGAGATTTTTGTTATAGGGTGCAGGCACTTGCCAGAGAGACAAAGACATAGAAAGTGAGAAAACATCCCTCAGAGGGGTGGCCACGCTGCAATCCCTTCTCCTCCACTCTCCTCTAGGGATCTTGGGCATGCACACGCACGCGCCCTGCATGAGTTTCAAGCCCCATGATCTGGGACTCGAACTACACTCGGCCATTGATGTAATCATTATGCCATCTGCTGTCCCTTGCCAACAGGCTATTTAAAATATATTTAATTATTGTAAATTATGATTTATGTAGTCATTTTTCTGACCAATGCACAATATTTCATAATATTAAACTGTCCCTCATTGATGGTTTATTTTCAGTGTTCTTCTCATAAAACACTACTTGCATTTAATAAATCATTTTGAATGTGTAGGACATTCTAGATACACCATACAAATTATTACATTATCTAAATATGTTATTCCTGAGCATACCTAACAATAACATGGTAGACTAAAGCCCAACATTTATACTTTCTTAGAACAATCATGCTTAGAAAAGTGCCCAGTGTTAATATTCAGGTATGTCAGAACACAAAGAAATCCTCTTCAGGTATTAGGTTTAATATAACAAATCAATCAAAATGAAAATTACAAAAATCAGGCTTTCACACTTTGAGTGAGTGATTCTAATTCACCATTCAATACTAAATGACCCCTGGCTAATGTTCAATACTTGATATACGACTTAATCCTACCTTCTAGGAATCTGTAAGCATTATTCACAAATTATAATTATGGTACCAAGAATTCCCAATAGCAGAGTAGAATTTTAACATGACTAGAGGCAAGGAAGAAGAGAGGCAGGGAGGCTGACAACTTGCTTTCTCACTTTTTCTCTCTCTCTCTTGCTCTTGTTCTCGCTCTGCCCCTCTCTGGTCAAATTAAAATAAACAAATAAGTATATAAAGTAAATTAAAATAATTATTTTTTAAAAAAAGAAAGAGGGGCAATCTCTAGTGTTACGAGTATAGTAGGGTAACTACAGTTAATGATTTACTGTATTTCTCAGGGCAGTTAAAAAGGAAAATATTGACTATTCTCCAAATGGAGTAATGACAACCGGCTGAGATAACAGACACACTAATCACCCTCATTTAATCACTACACACAGTATTTCTATAAAGGGGAAGAAAACACACACAC